TTACCCTTCACAGTGTTAGCAGCTGCAGTACTCTCAAAAGCACGTAGTTATTTTACAAGCAGTATTTTTCGATTTGAAGTGCTCTGAACACGGACGTGCCTTTTTGTCCAGCAGAGCTGAGACCTGATACCAACGCCGGAAGCGCTTCTAGCGACTTGTGCATACTGTCATTGTTCTGCTTTTTTCAGGAGTTCCTGTAACTATGCTTAACCCCGTTTATTCTGAGCTTAACAACTATTTTTGAAAATACCAAGCCGTTACAATGAGGCGATGTGGCTTTATACAGCTTCCCTGTATTTGTACCGCGTTGCATGCGCCTGCACCCATCAAGGTTGTTACGCCTGTGCCATGGATGGCTTGTCCCGTCATCGTTACTCTCCCGACCCGCGAGCCAAGTCACGTGATCGAAAACATCCCTGCGCGTCATTTCTGAGACAAAGTGTAATGATATGTGGGGTTTAACGTCCCGAAACCACCATATGATTATGAGAGACGCCGTAGTGGAGGGCTCCGGAAATTTCGACCACCTGGGGTTCTTTAACGTGCACCCAAATCTGAGCACACGGGCCTACATTTCCGCCTCCATCGGAAATGCAGCCGCCGCAGCCGGGATTTGAACCCGCGACCTGCGGGTCAGCAGCCGAGTACCTTAGCCACTAGACCACCGCGGCGGGGCTGAGACAAAGTGTAGGTAACAGGCCCAGTCACTCCAAAATCTCAGCGACCCACGGTTCCATGAGCACGTATAAAAGTGGCTCAAGACGCGCTGACGAGCACGAGATCATTACGTGATGCGAAGGCAGCGCCACTTCATTGCGCACTACTAACGCAGTGCGCAGTAAGTTCATTTTTATGGAGTATACGTAACATATTTTACTACGAAGAAGCAAATAATGTCTATACAAACAGGACAGTTGTTGACCACGTACACTAGATTACGGTCACGTGAGAGGGCAGCTCGAATAATTGAAGTTTCGTCCACCAGGTATCGCCACAGTCTATTTTCGCGGTCTTCAATGAAGAAATAAAAATATAACTCCATTTCGCATTAGAAAATATGGTAGGTTTGAGTCACTATGAGGGACAATCTTCCCATCCATGCAGTCATTAAATTTCATGTTCTGAGCAACTGTCGGTTTATTCACCGAGTGGCGTCTTACGGGAACGCATTACCGTTGCAATGGCGCGGGTTAATCGCGCCAGCCACACTGCAGGGAAGCGCGTGTCAGTGAGTAAGCTGAGCCAACGGAGGGCATACCAGTATGCACACAAAGTGGGAAACGGACGGTCAAACCATCGATACTGCTGAGAAGCGCAGTGGCCTGGATCCCTTGGTTTCGTTCAGTCTTATAACAATATCAACTTCTTGCAAGTAGTCTTACATATATACGTACAGTCCAATCACAATAATTGCTTCATCTCCAAACTAATACTCTTTCACATCGCCAACATTTTATCGCCGCCGTTTCTTATCTGCGCAATGATACTTTATGTGCTTTGTTAGCGTGCATGTTAAAACGTGAATGTCAGCATGCCATGCTAGCGTGCACGTCAAAGCAGAAGTTGCTCTATCGGGGCCCACTTTTAAGCCATTCTCGCCAACTCCGCGCAACAGGCGCTTCTGGTCTGGCCAACAACCCGTACTCTACCACAGGATTTAAGAACTCTACACCGTTCATTGTTAGACTTCACACGTCAAGAAAACTTGCAAGTGTATTTTTGATACCGCGAATTAGCATGCCAAAGGCTACAGGTTTTCGAGGAAAAAAAAGAAACATTTGCTAGTGCCTTTGAAACAGATGATAGGACAGCTGCAAAGAAAATACTTGCACGAAATGGCCGCAACGTCGTTGTCTGTTTCTATTCGTCCCTTGTTTTTAGACCAGCCGCTTGAATCCATATTACTAACGTGACCTTATGTGCTTAGCATATATATTTCTAACGTGTTTTACGTTGGACGTACACAGCCGCTATCGCTTGTGGAACGCATATTTTAGTGCAAACTTTACTTTTTGCATGCAACTGTGTACGGTCAGCCTGAGAAAGGTTCTACATTCTAGAACACTGAGGCACAACCGCGCAGAAAACTGGACAAAGAATATACAGTACATAGCACCGACCATTCAGTGGCTTCTTCATGGGAAAGGCTGAGAATATATAGTAGCGGCCGTGGTGATAGAAACCCCTTTTATTTCAGAAAAGTAACCAGAGAGTGGCGGCATATTGCATGCTTGAGTGGCCAGACCCTATTTTAGGACGTCAATGGTCCCTGCCCGACATCGAAAAATGGCACAAACGCTGTAACGCGCTTTGAAAAATAAATTAGCTACACTGAGCCTCGATTGCGATCACGCAGCTTGGTGGCTCATGCTTACGTCTTCTTGATTTCCTCTTTTTTCTGTTTATGGTTTCAGCTTTCTAGCTTTGTTGACACTTGCTTAAAACCTTTTTTGGTTAGACTGATTCCCTTTTTTTTTGTTGGTTTTCTAATGTCCGGCCTTAGCGGCAACAATCATTTTCGTCCCAACCGTCAAGTCATGGTCCTCTTTCGTTCAGTTTACGTTTTCATGATTTGCATCTTGTAAACCCTTATTCACAGTGATAGTAAGGTGAGGCGGCCACGTCCCTCAGCAGCTATGCCATTTTTCGGTTTTTCGTCTGCCTCCCAATAAAGAATGAAGCAGAGAGTGCTGTATGTTCATCGTGCCGCTGTCTGCACTCTGCTGCAGCAATGCAAATTCTTCCACCGTCTCTTCGCTAACCGCCACTTTCCTCTCACCTCATGCTGAGCAAACACAAAAGATCATGCGTAATGGGCTCGCGATGCGAGCGAGAAACACCGGGAAGAGGCAGGCGCGCCGCGCGGCGGTTGTTAAGCCGGGGTGCGTTCCATTGGAGGAGGACTCTCCTCCAGCACGGGCGGCACTCCACATCCCGAGTGATGAACGATTCGAGGACGGAGCAGCGGGAGCCCGGCTATCACGCAACCACATCTCGCGCGCCCAGAGCACAGAGAGACGCCGACGCTGCGGCCGTCGTCCGCAGAGCTCCGGAGAGTGCGCGGGGCACACGTGGCCAGCACACGGAGACGAAGAGCCGAAGGAACCTCCCAGTTTGTCGCCGTCGTCGTGTCAAGGACCTCTCGGCCGAGCGCCAAGACTGGCACTCCCGTTCAGATCGGCAGATTTCCAGCGCGCATACGGCGCATCTGGCGCGGGATTCGCAAACAGGATTTCAACGGAGTTCGCGCAGGTAGCGAGTTGTTTGTTCACCGAAACAAGTGCTACACATTCGACTCGGTTTCAAGAGTATGCGGCGAGAAAGGAAAAGAACAGCCAGACAACTAAATCAGTGGATTGAGGGCGAATGAAGGCCGTGCGGGTTCAGTAACACTTCAGACTCAACACAAGCCGACGCAACCGATCCCCTGGAGAACATTATCCGCCACAACAGATTCTTAACAGTACAGCATTGAAACGAGAGGATCGTCAGGCTAGACCTGCCGGTCCCCACGTGGGAGTAGCCGGGTGGCGCGTGGCAGCCTCAGCGTCTGCACTGGACCATAATAAAGTTGCTCTCACTCACTCTATCAATCAATCAATCAACTAGCCACGTGACTCAGCTGCGGGCCCACGGCCCCTCTTGTGCGGCCTTCGGGATCGGTAAATAATTAAGGTCAGAAATCCGACATCAGGCATTCTTGTCCCCCGTTCGCAGATAGCGAGTACAAGAGCGTTCCTTTTCTTTTTCAAAATTAATTTCTGGGGTTTTCCGTAAACAAACCAGACTGGGTCATTCCATCAAACGTTCAAAATGGCTGGGTTCTAACGGCCCAGCCATTTCGAGACCTGTATCAGAAAAAAAAAAAATATGTACTCATTTATTGCCCTGAAAACAGTCAACTGCTAGAATATATCTGCGAAGGAAAAAAAAATCTCATGGGAGCCATTTGAATTTTTCAGGAAGTCGTCCGAGTGTTGTCAGAAAACTTATTCTGTGAGTACAGTTTCGCGCTTCAATACCGAATGTGGTCTACAATTCTACATAATAAGGAAAGGCGTTTGTGTAAGCATTTTGAAGATCAATATTATTACTATAGTTTTACTGCCACGCCTTTAGAGATATTCCCAGAATGCTCCATGTTTACTACATTTTAATACTTGTCCTACGTATGAATATTTTAGCAATCAATGCTTACTCTTGAGAAGATATAGTTTTAATTACAAGCATTTTCAAATAGCTGAAGGTTTACGAATTTGCGAAAAAACCATCACTGCTATCAGGAATCATTCTTTTGGGAAGCATCGACAAGCACTTTACACCACGTGGTGCTCCAATAAAAACCATAATAAACCTCAATTGAAAACAAATACCTTTTTTCTTATTTACCAACTCTTATCATTACAGCTTTCGTTTTATAGAAAGATAAAATATAATTCAACATCCCACTGATAGCACTGTTCGCATTGGATCCCACGGCAGCTTCCTCTTTGAAGTTTTCCATGCCATCATATTTTCAGCAGATTTCATCTTTTTTTTTCTAATACATCTAGATGGTCGCCTAAAGTGGTTGGGAGGTCAGGCATGGACTACCCCATTCTGTTTGTGAGGCGCACCGCAGTGGAGAACTCCGTGTTCATTTTCAGCACTCCTTAACGTCGACTTGTATGTAATTACACAATACACTTGCCCTACACGAAAATACGGCCGCCGTGGCCGTACACCGAACCCACGTTCCAAATCTTAGCTGAGTAATGCAGTAAGCTAGCGTCCTATCTGCCCATTGTCTTCATTAGTGCTTGGTAACCACTGCAATCTGCAAACTTGTCCTTGCTGCTTAAGTGGCGAACCGAAATCCTTTGGAAAGCTGACGATGAAGGTGGTGTTTTACGGCGCGAGGCCCAAATTTTAGGAAGAGTGGGAGCCGTTTGAAGTTACCTTCAATTACGCTAGTTCTATGGACGAGCAGTAGGAGGTCGGAATTAAGCCGTGCTACCGACCTTTGAGGAGCCGCTCAGTTGGCAACAGTGTTCCGCCCTGGCTTGGATCAGCTTGGCTAGCCGACAGACGATCACGCCATTGTCGAGTTTGTCCAAAAAGTTGTCTGCTGTGATGTCCTCAACGTCTGCGCAAAAGACAGAAAAGGACACAAGCTCAGTACACTTTGATACAAGATGACACCTAACCGCGAAAGCTAAAGCGAACAAAATTCACGTTAGCACACACTACTAATCAAATAGCCCTCAACTAGGAAACAGAATAGTTGAACGCTCATTTTTATTACCATGCTGCCAATTTTAAGCGAATAATAAACACGCACTCAAGAAACCCTGCCGCGTCTAGAAGCAAGGCAGATTTTCGCTTCCTCTGCTGTCAAACTTGCCACAGAAACATCGATTATGCTTTGACATTTTGGTTCAGTTATTGGAGCCGCTTGGCGTCGGAATATGCCACCATCAAGAACGAGTAAGTAGCTTAAAGTCAAGGCGCATCAGAAAAATCTGGCTGCAACGGGCTTTTCAAGTGATTTCCGCTACTAGACTTTCACACTTTCTATACTTATTAGTCTTCCGTACTGTAATCATACAGAAACAAAATTGGGAAACCGTTAAGCTTCCCCTTTAAGAGTTAATTGTACGTGATAGCAATATACGCACACCAACACGCATGAACACACACTAACACACGCAATATATCCTTCCCAGTCACTAGATTGTCATCTTTTCTAGGCGGAGACCGAAACTGTGCCGCAAGGAAAGCCAAAGTGCAAACGCACTCCGGCTGCTACCATTATATGCATCTATCTCAAACTTTCGCTCACGGCCAACACCTGGTTTTTCGCTCACAACCAAAGACGCCGCCGCCAACACCAGAATTTCTAATGGAGGGGATTGAGATAAAGGTTAAGCACGGAGGTCAACCAGAAATATATTAATTCAGTTTGCTACACTGCACTGCTCTTTTCATGTGGATAAGTGTGCTCCACAAATGCGAAGGGTTTCGAATCAGTGGCCCAGCAGAGAGCAGAATAAATCTATACTGTGTTTGTGCCTTGTTACGAAGAGGAATTGACGAGATATTATCGTGTGATGAGCTGAGGTGGTAGGCTTCGATAATAAGGGCCGTATTGATTACCAAACTTCTATTTCGTTTTTCTTATTGTTTTTGCATCCTCAACACGCATAAAGTGCATGAAAACAATAAGTAGAGCAAAAGATAACTGAATTTGATTTGTGAACACCGGCTTCATACTTGTTTATGGGTCACGTTAATGGCCCTAGAAAGATATGCTAAATGGGAGATAATGGTAAGGTTGGTTTGTGAACACGGGTCTAAGTGTTAAGTGCATTCTTTCCCGTGCCCCCCCCCCCCACTCTCTTCCCCCTCTCGTCCACACAGTTTTTCGTACTACATTCTTCTCGTATAATGCGCGCATCGGGCGAAAACAAACATTCAAATAAAAAGTAATACTTCCCTGTTGATCACGACCTATTCACGTGGTCTATTCAACGTTTTTTTCTTGCTTTTTTAAATGTAACTTTTTAATGCATGAACGACTAGAGTCTTGTGGGACTTGAAGAAAGTCAGCAAAGGCCCGGAAAGAAATAGGCAGTCGCAAACACCGTGTTACTGTGCTTTTGCTGGCTTTGTTCAAATACCATGAACCAACTGGCCCAGATTTCAACTCCTCTAAATCTTGCACACTTTCGCTAAAATAAATAAATAAAAACAAGTTAAACGGAAAAAAGCAGTCGTCAAGTCACGTGATGGGTATACACGCGTGACTTACGGAGGACATCACGTAGCCACCTAGCGGCGCTTCGCTTGTCCGCCTCGAAGTGCTCCACGTCGTCCTCCTCGTACACCTCGTCCACCGTGCACCACCAGCGCATTGTTGACGGCAACGACTCGAGCGGTTTTCACACAGTTTGTGCAAGGGATAGCGGAAACAATGGCGGAGTAGGTTACGGCAACTAGAGTTGACGCCAACGAAACAGCAATAAGCAGCCGAGAACAGCGCGGGAAGGACTGCGAGAAAGACAAAAGTGTTGCCGCGGTTGATGACATTTCGTTCCGGGCTCTCCGAATATCGCCACGCACGCTTGTTCGTTCATTTTCACGTGATCACGGTCTCCATTCACTAATGACGCGTTACCGATCGGTGACTGCTGACAGAAACTTCCGCGGTGATACACGTATGGCTGTGGTGTTCGACTGCTCACCCGCAGGTCACGGGATCGAATCCCGAACGCGGCGGCTATACAGTTAGAAGGAGGCGAAATGACAGAGGCCCGTGCGCTCACATATCGGTGCACGTTAAACCAACACCAGATGGTCAAAATTTTCACAGCCCTCCCCAACAGCGTTCCTATTATGTGGTTTGGGGACGTTAATTAAGCCCGAACATTTATTATAAACAGCGACAGCCAAACCACAAGATATGGAAACCTTCGCGGTTGTTTTAAATACGCTAAGATTTCGCGCAGGGCGCGATCGAGAGGTCGAGTTGATTCAGGAAGTGACAGCAGTCGTCAGAACGCACGACCACGAATCCATGAAAGACGACGCGTTTCGCCGGCGATCAGGTTATGGACGCCAGGCGACAGTGTTCACCGCAACTTCCCTATAACGCGAGTTCTACTTTGTGATACTGCGAGTGTCACTCCGTTTTCTGAGCAAAATTTCGGCCCATTGACTGCGACCCGTCAAAAGCACGCTGTATTGAGTATTAACCGTATACCGTTCCGGCAAAGTAAACGCGAGTTGTAACTATCCTTAAAGCCCCGCTCCTTAGCGAAGGCGCCCACGAAGCTGCCATTTTTCATTATCAACACGGTGGCTGTACACTTATATCAGCCAGCAAGTGGTCCATTCACCCATCATTATTAGTCTAGTTTTTCTTTTAAGTTCGCTGCACATAATTAATAAAATCGCAAGAATTGGCTCCCTTAAAAAAGTAAATAGAAGAAGATTGTAAAATTTTTTGAGACATGATCACGTGTATCTCCAGCTGTACACTTGTCAATTTCCAGTTTTCATTATCATTTGATGTGTACACGCAGACAAAGAAGGACCAAGAAGAAACAGGGAGCCGGCAGGTTGACAGGCACCACGTCTGCCTGCTCTTGCCAGCGGCCCTAATAGATATACAGATGAAAGCTGAATCGGAAAGAACGAGAAAGCAAGAAACAAAAACTTGGAAGTTAGTGGATGCGAGCTGGTTGGCGCAGGTTCACTTGAAAAAGGAAGCGCTAATTTAAACACGCTTTAAGACGCATCACACGAGGACCAGCGCCCGTCCTCGGTGTGATGTTTTTTAGAGCATGTTCGTGTTAGCACTGTTTTTTTTTTTTCAAATAGAAACAAACGTAGTAAGTGGCAAAAAGTATAGAATGAACGCTTCGGGAAGAAGTCAACTCAACGCGGACAGGCTGCTATTTAGAGTGAAGCGAGCGACATCGTGACGACGTATATAGACTATTTTACCTAAGACATATGAACGCCGCCATGTTGGGCTATTAGATTGATGTGCTCTCGTTTTTGTACATTGCGATGCGAATTAATGAGGCCACGGAACGTCGCGCACACCAACTCCACCATTTTCATTTTTATGCGTCTACCACAACACAATTCGTTTAGTTATTAAACATGCAAAACACGAAGGCTAACAGCCCAAAATGGCGGCATTGAATCCCCTGCGTAAAATAGTCTATACGGGGGCTCCCCTATTTAAAGGTTCTGCAACGCAGCCCACCCATGAGCAAAATGGCGACAAGATAGGAACCTATATACAGGCTTTCCCATGGGACAACTGCTACTGGAACGTTTCCCGTCAAGCGTATACGTCATAACAGCTTATCGCAGTTGAGGCATCTCCATGTAATCGAGAGCTCCTCGTTAGAGACAAACGGACGCCTTGTGCCTTCTCCGCGCTGAATGCATGCCATTGACGAAATCGGAAGGGAACGGAGTTGTCACTTGTCACGATAAAAGACAGGCGGTATATGCGTCGAAGGGAGATGCCGCCAGAGCCATGTCGGGGTGATCTGACAGTAATGCGATCTACGGTCGCTGATGCGTGGAAGATGGAAGACGCGGTAGACGTCTGCCACTTCCAAGACAACAGACAAGGTTAAAGGAACGCGGAAGAGCGAGCGCGGAAACTGTGGGAAACACGTGGCTTTCGAGGGTATCTTTTTATCGAGTGGTATAAACAAGAAAATGTTAATGAGATCAAAAGAGCAACAGGATAGAAAAGGGATAATAACAACAACAGCAATAATAATAATAATAATAATAATAATAATAAACAAGGCTTCACGTGTGAAAACCATGACGCGATTATAGCGCACGCCGTAGTAGACAGCTTTCGAATTGTTTGTTTTTTTTTCTAGCGTGCACCGTAAACCAACTAGCATCCTTAAGGGTGCTTTCAATGTCTACAACTCACATAAGGGTGTTGTTTTGACCAACCAAGACACCCTTACCATAGGTTGTTACAGACATGGCAAGCAACCATAAAGGTGCAAATAGAGTGTCTTACACTGGATTTTAGCGAATCGCCTCCATCGAAATGAGACCGCCAACAATCCACGTTCGGGTCAGCAGCTCCGCTGCGTAACTAATGCACCAAAATGGCGGACCCAAGAGGTAAGAAACAATAAGTCGCGTGAGTGACAAAGATTTATGCTATTCTCCCCCTTTGTCAATTATCTCACAAAGATGTAATAATAAATAACAGAAACCTGATGAAAACAGAAGATCGGAAATCACATAAAAACTGCAGTATACCTGAAAGACTTTGAAGACATGTTAAAACAAACATGTTATGAAAATGAAAATTGAACCATAACGACCCTTCTCTCGAATCTCTGCAGCGAAGTCGAAGTCCACTCGAGAAAGCGCGCGACTTGCGGTATAGACTGACCGTGAAGACCAAAACACACTATTTTTGTCGCATGCGTATATAGTGAACGCCAAATATACGCAACACTTCGCAAAACACTAACTCTCACCCACCCGGGGCACGAACTCCCGCCGTTCGCGAAATAACCTCCGCCCTCAAGCATCAACGTACCGCAGTGCTAGATGCAGATCTATTCTTGGAAAAAGACACACTCGCCA